GGATGTGGTATGTGTGTGTGGATGTGTGTGTGTTGGGGTGTGCTCAGGGGTGTGTGTGTGTGTGTGTGTGTGTTCATGTCTCTTACACTTCCAGAGTAAGCACCCCAGGCGCCCAGGCTGGGTCTGCCCTCCTGCTGGTCTCTCAGCACTTGGGATGGAGCCTGACTCACAGGCGAGAGCACTGGAGGAATCACGGAGGGAGGGACAAACGTGCAGGGAGGAACAGACAGTGGGAACATCCAGCAGGGGCCAGCGCTTTGAAAGCTAAGGTCCGCCTCCTGCTGCTTCTGACAGGGCCGGCGCAGTGCACCAAGCAATAACCTAGTCCCGAGACAGGAAGCCGCCCCTTGGGCACCTCGGTGCGAGGGCAGGGCTGGCGGCAGCCGCGGCGGGCACTGATTTCTTGATCTGCAGAATTCAGAATCCTCACAGCAGGCCTACGTGGTCGCTATTATATCCTGTTTCTCAGATGAGGACGCTGAGGCCCAGAGAGGAGGAGTCACTCGTCCAAAGCCACACAGCCGGGAAGAGGCTGGTTGGGAGGCGGGCCCTTACCGATGTACATGGAGTTGGTGTTGGGGAAAGGCTTGGCGGGCAGGATGGAGTTCTGTAGGGCCTCCTCGTCGTTGGAGGGCGGTGGCTCGTAGTCCGCGTCGTCTTCCGCGGGCGCCGCCTCCTCCTCCTCGTTGGGGGACTCGTAGTCGCCATCCTCCTCCCCATCCGGGTCCTCGTTGGGGCTTTCATAGTCGTCTTCCTCCTGCCGACACAGGGACAGCCACGTGGCACCGACGTGCCCGCATGCGCACTCCCTGCCAGACCAAACCATGGCGCGCCCCACACTCCCCAGGGCGGAGAGTGCAGCCAGCGACGCCCATTTTACAGAGGAGGAAAACAGAGGGCGGGGGACAATAGGAAGGGACCGGCAGGCCAAGGGCTAGGGCCCCGGCCAGGGTCTGCGGCCATCGGGCAAGTCCTTTCCTCCCACACGTTTTGGCACAAGAGACAAAAACAAGGCATGGGGAGGGGCCTGAGCTCGGTCTGAACAAACACATTTTTTTTTTACTCCGTTGTCGCCAGGAGAAAAACTAAATGCCCGCGACACGTATGATGACACCAGGTAACCTTCGTTTGTGTTCTTAGCGAGCCTGCGCACGAACAACGTCTCCTCATTACAACGCAGGCTAATGGAGGAAACCAGATAAACAACGCCTGGCAATTGCAAGGCAGATTCCGCCGTGTCTGAGAGGCCAGGGAGAGCGGCCGCCCGGGATAAAAATGACAGCGCGCCCTGCATGAAACCTGACACGTGGGTTGAAGCTGCATCTTGGAGAAGACCCTCTAACTGTTAGAACTTTTTCTGTCTTACTGACGACTGTGTTCTGTTTGAGGGGAAGGAAGGCCGGGGTGCTGGGTGATTGTCTTTGAGGTGGTTCCTGAACGTGGACGCTGGCTGTAATGATTCCCAAGCAGAGGGCATGGCCACCTGTGCCGGGTGCCTGCTCCCTGTCTTGACGCAATCAAGCGGGTGCTGCATGAGCACAGAGTGGCAAGAAGCGGCGGGAGGCTGCAACTTGTCAGGGAAGCTGTGTACTGATGGCTATCCGGGAACGCCCGAGCGCTTTAGAAGGGCTGAGGAGGGCTCTTTACCCTGTGGGAAGACTCTGGGCTCTGTTTTGAGTTGAGGAAATCTCAATGACAACTAGAAAGGCAGAGGAAGGGCTGAGCGAGCGCTTTTCTAAACTCGCAAAGGCTTTGGTCTGCCCTGTTGGTGTTCCTGTGACTTAACACAAGGTGGACCAACCTTCCAGGAAGCAGGTCTTGGGGACAATGGTCTCAGCGGTAGGCAGGGGACAGGTGGCGGCATCCCCTCGACCCATCGCCAGACCTCCACTTCGTACACCGTAATCAAACAGCAGACTTCCCTCTCTGCGTCTCAGACCATGGTTTTCTCCCAAATGCTTGGCCCCTACGTTTGTACATGGTTTTGCTGCTAATCACATTCAGCCATGCCTGCACCCCATGCAGTAAAATGGTCACGTGATTGCGTTCTTTGTCTCTGCTGCCCTCCTCATGGTCCTCCGTGGTCCCTGGAGGCATCAGGGAGCTGCCAAGTTGCACAGGCACCAAGGAAATCCTTGATGCACAGAGAGGAAGGAGGCCAGCCACAGGCTGCGGGTGAGCGGGTGGCACGGCAAGGGGCGGTGAACACTCGGTTTCTGTGCAAAAATAGAAACCTCTGGGGGAAACTCTGCTGTTTTCCCTTTTGCACAAAATGAATCTGTCGTATTCCTTCATTTACACGTTGAAAACACTAACTAGGCAAAACATTTTTAAGAGGGAAATGCTCTCATCTGTAGAATCTCAATAGGACAAGGACATTTTGTGCCTGCTTTCTAAAGGCACCAGAGGATGCGCTTACCGGAGAGACCACTCGACAGGGTCGAGCAGCCTGGGGCCCAGGACTGCTCCCAACTAGCTGTGGGGCTCCACAGAAGGCCCATCCTGCAGTGGGGCCCTGGTGCTCCACCTGTGAAATGGACAACCTGGGCTCCGGTCCCTCCTAGAGGTCTCAGCTTGAGTGTGGCTTCAGGGGTGCTGACCATACACGGAGCTCTCTGGACACGGGATGCTCAGAGTCCACCAGACTTTCAAAGGGGCCCGTGTGAACCCTCAGATTCAAAACCCACCTGGATAGGAGCCTCCGGGAAGTCTTTCTAGAACTGCGGGTGGAATGTGAATGTTGTCAGGACGAAAGCGCAGGTGCATGTGTCAACCCAGACAGAATAAGTTAGGAAAGCCAGGAGGTGAAGGAGAGGGGTTCTCAGGCGTGGCCGTCTGACAGTAACCATCCCAGAAGGCTCTGCCCGAGCTGTAAGCTTGCACAGAGTCCACCATAACCTTCAACCAAAAGTATTTCTGCAACGACATCTCCCCAGCAACTGCCGGTTTAACCTCAGCCTAGCATCACCCCGGTGAGCAGTCACTGTGGCTAGAGATGCTTATTTTAAAAGGTCTGATGTACGCCTCCTCCAATTTTTGCTCTTCAAAAATTTCCCCTGGCCTTGACCTCTTTGAACACATCCATAGTGGACTGGTGCACGTACATTTCCATTGCAAGCTCACCTCGTCCCAAATCAACCTCAGCATTCTTTGGAGACTCTCTGATTGCTTCGTTTGCAGATTGGCTTGTTTTAGGCTGACAGGGCTAATAGTCAGCTCTGAAAACCTTTTCACTCTCTGCCACCAGTGGAGACTTAAATCCACAAGAAAGGTGCCTTTAGCTTGGATTTCTAGGCAAGAGTCTGTGTGGGGAGCTGGGCTGGGGGTGGGGGAAGGACCTGCCTCAAGGGGGGTGAGGGTGAGTGATGATGTGCTCAGAAAGCCACAGCCCGAGGGCCAGGTGCTGCCCACCCTTGGTTTATGGGCACGCAGCCAAGGCCATGCCTTTGTCCCCATCTCTGGCTACTTTGGGGCCACTATGGAAGAGTGAGTGCTGGAGAGAGAGATGTGCCGAGACTCCCCAAGCTGCACCCTCTGGCCCCTTGCAGGACACACGTGCTGAGCCCTGGGTGGTGGTAGATGTTTTGCTCCTTTTTGCTGGATATGTGATACAGGGCCACTCTGGGCATTGCTGCTGGGGTGGAAGAACCAGCCACACTATACTCACAAAGGACGACCAGCCCCCATTGTCCTCCTCGTGGTTCTCTGTAGAAACAGACAACACGGCCATCAGCACCCGAAGACGCCCACACCTGAGCGACCCCCAGCCGCGCCCTGATCTGATGCCTCCCACCTGCCTTCTGCACACCTGGGGTAGCAGCTCACCGTCAGCCCCAGGATTCCTACCTGAGGAGCTTGTGCCCCTCACAGTGCCAGTGGGTCTCAGCCTTTCACCTGCACAAGTCACCTAGGAGTGCTTTAACATGTGCAGGTATCTGAGGCCCTAAACTGGGAGTTTCTGATTCCTTAAGGCCGGGGAGGGGCCCAGGAGCCAGCCTTTTAACACTCCCTTCAATGCAACAGACGTGAAACCACTTTAAGGAGTCCTGGAAGACTGTTTCAGGGCGGGCGTGGTGGTGCAGCAGGACCCCTGCATTCCATTCTCAGAGTGCCTGGGTTTGCATCCCAGCTCTGATTCTGACCCAGCTGCCTGCTCAGGTGCACCCTGGGAGGCAGCAAATGATGGCTCGAGTTCTTGGGTCCCCATCACCCATCCAGACCCAGATGGAATTCCTGGATCCCGGCTTTGTCCTGACCCTGCCCTGGCTATTGTAGGCATTTGGAGAGTAAAGCAAAGGATAGAGAATCTGTTTCTTTCTCTCTCTCTCTCTCTCTCAAATAAATAAATAGAACTTTTTTTTTTTTTTGACAGGCAGAGTTAGTGAGAGAGAGAGAGAGAGAGAGAGAGAAAGGTCTTCCCTCTGTTGGTTCACTCCCCAAAATGGCGGCTACAGCTGGCGCATTGTGCTGATCCGAAGACAGGAGCCAGGTGCTTCTCCTGGTCTCCCATGCAGGTTCGGGGCCCAAGCACTTGGGCCATCCTCCACTGCCTTCCCAGGCCACAGCAGTGAGCTGGGCTGGAAGAGGAGCAACTAGGACAGAATCCGAACCCCAACTGGGACTAGAACCCAGGGTACCGGTGCTGCAGGCAAAGGATTAGCCCAGTGAGCTGCGGCGCCTGCCCGAATAGAACTTTCTTAAAAGAAATCTTTAAAGACTGAGCTCAGGAATTTGGTTCCAATGGTGGGTCTTTTTAAGCTGCCCCACGGGGCTCAGGGTCTCTTTGCTGAGGGCCTCAGCTATCAAGAGCCATAGCCAGGTTGCTTGCAAAGCGACATCTCTCCTCCCCTCACCCCTTTCCTGGGTAGGAGCTGACTGCAGGCTGGTGAGCAGGGAGCCCCAGGAGCCAGAACACAGGAGAAGCAGGGCCCCTAGCACCTCCTAAGGCAGTCACCCCTCAGCCCTGCCGCCCTTACCTGTCTCTTCAGGGAAGCGCTGCACTTGGGGTCTGCAGAGACAAAGGCAGTGCGTGAGTGGCCCTGTTGGCTCTAGGGTCCCCCTGTGCCCCACCCAGCCCTGCAGGAGGACTCCCATGGAAGGCAGTCTAAGGAAGGGCTGTGTCCCTGTTGCTTGGCCACCGGGCCTAAGCTATCCTGAAAACGATGGAAGCCATACAGGAGGAGTGGGGAGGAATGACTGGGAGGTCCCAATGGCCTGGGGCCCCAGGGACTGGAACCTGGGGCAGGTGGCAGGGCAAGGAGAGGGAACCCCTCCCTTCCTGAACACCATCTTCAAGACCCTGGGGACCTCTGCAGGCCAAAATGTGAGGTCAGAGCAGTTCTGTGGCTTCCTCTCAAGGGCCGACTTGGTTTGAACATTCTTGGGTTTCCTCACTGCGGGCCCTGAGTGACCCACTCACTTGCGTGCGAAAATGCTCCTCCTCTCCTCATTCTTGTTGATTTCTTGACTTAACTTGCTGAGGATCCTACGAGACAAAGGGGAAGGTGAAGATAAAAGCCATCTCCTCCCAAGGAGCTCTCAACTTCTAGGACCTGTGTAGCCTCAGGCAGCTCGGCCAGGCCAGGTCACCTCCAGCCAGCCCTGCTCTATCACCCCCACTCCCGACTCCTGCCCAGATCTCACGCTCCTGCCACCCGGGAAGCCCTCTCTCCTCTTCACTCACCTGTGTCCTGCTAAGCTCAATGCCCTTTCTTTTTTTTTTTTTTTTTTTTTAATCATTTATTTATTTATTTGAAAGTCAGAGTTACACAGATAGGAGAGACCTTCCATCTGTAGGTTCACTCCCTTGATGGCTATAATAGCTAAGGCTGGGCCAGGCCGAAGTCAGGAGCCAGGAGCTTCTTCTGGGTTTCCCACATGAGTGTCAAGGGCCCTAGCACTTGGGCCATCCTCTGCTGCTTCTCCCAGGTGTATTAGCAAGGAGCTGGATTGGAAGTGGAGCAGCCGGGACATAAAGGGCACCCATAGAAAGATACCCTCAGATCTTAGGCTTTTTCGTGTTTGAGCCTGAGAATCCCTTTCCCCAGGACAGCGTGGTCCTTTGCCATCAGGAATGCCTCCCAAGAATGACCTGCAACTAGTGTGCCTTCCAGTGTCTCCAAGCCCCAGGACGCGGGATTCCAGCATCCCCTGGCTTCCTTGGATGAGATCAAGGACCCTCACTGGTAAATGGCTCAGTGTTTTCCATAGATTTGTGACAACCGGAAGTAATGAGGAGTCAGATGGGTTAGTAGGTAGTCACGGGACCCCAGTGGAACTTGGGGTGTAAAATATTTGCTTCCTTCCGCAAGAACAAACAGGCCGCCCTCCTTCCTGCGGAATCTCCAGATTTACCATAGAATAGCAAGGGAGCTTCTCCAGAGCTCACAGCTTACTGTGAAAACAAGTTACCTACCCACCCTTAGCAGGCCAGACAGGATGGAGAATTGTAAATCAGGCCTTTTGTTGCGATTACCACCATCTTGTTGATTGACAGTTTGGTCCCTAAGATTGTGCATAAAAACCGGAATGCTTCAGGGCCTTTTGGGATTCTTTCCTCTCTCGGAAGCACCCCCTCCACGCTGCTCCTGCTGGAGATCTTTGACTGTAATAAATACTTTTTTTTTTTTTGACAGGCAGAGTTACACAGTGAGAGAAACAGAGAGAAAGGTCTTCCTCCTGTTGGTTCACCCCCCAAATGGCCGCTATGGCTGGTGCTACACCAATCTGAAGCCAGGAGCCAGGTGCTTCCTCCTGGTCTCCTATGCGGGTGCAGGGTCCAGGCACTTGGACCATCCTCCACTGCCTTCCCGGGCCACAGCAGAGAGCTGGACTGGAAGAGGGGCAACCGGGACAGAATCTGGCGCCCCAACTGGGACTAGAACCTGGGGTGCCGGCGCCGCAGGCGGAGGATTAGCCTAGTGAGCCATGGCGCTGGCCGACTCTAATAAATACTTTTAAATCTCTTTGCTGTCCACTTGGAAATTCTTCCACGTGAGACAAAGAACCGAGGTAACAATAATTTCTCTGCCACCGTTTTGCTGTAACGGTGACATTGGAGATGATTAGGCCCAAAGTCATTTTACAGAGGAGGGAACAGAGGACCAGAAAAAAGAATTTTTTAAATTTTATTTATTTTTTAAAATTTTATTTATTTGAAAGACAGAGTTACAGAGAGAGAGGTCTTCCACCCCCTGGTTCATTCCCCAGATGGCTGCAATGGCTGGAGCTATGCCAATCCGAAGCCAGGAGCCAGGAGCTTCTTCCGGTCTCCCACATGGGTGCAGGGGCCCAAGGACTTGGGTCATCTACTATTTTCCCAGGCCATAGCAGAGAGCTGGATCAGAAGAGGAGCAGCTGGGACTAGAACTGCCACCCATATGGGATGCCGGCACTTCAGGCCAGGGCTTTAACCTGCTGCGCTACAGCGCCGGCCCCAAAAGAAGAATTTAGAAACTGGCTTTGTGGTATAACAAGTTAAGCCACTTGCAATGTCAGAATCTGACACTGATCTGAGCCTAGTCCAGCCTCTCTGCTTCTGATCCAGCTCCCTGCTAATGCACCTGGGAAGGCAGCAGAAGATGGACCAAGTCCCGGGGTCCCTGCACCCATATGAGAAACTCAGATGGAGCTCCCGGGTCCTGGTTTTGCTCTGGTTCAGCCCTGGCTATTGCAGCCATTTGAAGAATGAAATAGAGGACAAAAGATCTCTCTCTCTCTCTTTCTCTCTCTGCCATTCTCTATCACTCTGCCTTTCACATAAATAAATAAATCTTAAAGAAGAAATAAAAGAAATGTCTAGGCCAAAGCTACATGATAAGTTAGTGATGAAGGCCACCCTCTCCCCACCACACACGTCAGCCACCTGCCAGCTCCCTAATTTCCAAGCCAGGCCCTTTCAATGCAGCACATCCTAGTGTTGATTCCAGTTATGCCATCAGCCCCCGAGGGAGGGCACTGTTGAGCCCCCCGGCAGATCAAGGAGATCGCCCTGCAACCTGCATTCCTTCTGCTGAGTGACTGTGTCGGAGCCACCAGTTTGGTCCACAATGAACTTGCTGAGACAGCAAGTGCGGTCCGTGGCAGCCACCACTTGTGGTTCTTCATCACACGCCAGGCTTCCAACTTCCTCATTCCTCCCTTTTCCCTGGGAACTGCTGTTTGGAACCAGAATCTTCTACCACATGAATGACAGCATAAGCAAATTTTCAAAATGGCAAGGCTATTAAAAATTCTTAATTTACTTGAGAGGCAGAAATCGTGACACACAGAGAGACAGAAAGAGAGCTCTCATGCACTGGTTCACTCTGCAAATACCTGCAATGGGCAAGACTGGGCCAGGGCTAAAGCTGGGGACACAATCTAGGCCCCTGACATGGGAGGTGGGAGCCCTGTCATCTGAGCCATCACCTATCATCTCTGGGGTCTGCATTGGTGGGAAGCCGGTGTAAGGAGCCAGAACCGGGAATTGAACTCAGGCAGTCTAGTTGGAAGGAAGGTAAGAGGGCAGTGTTTAGCCCTCTGTGATGACATCATTCATGGAATTGCAGGCTTCAATGACTGCCAGAGACAGCCAGACTAGGGCTTCCTGGTGGCCTTCTGATTGGGTGACCCAGTACTTGCAACATGACTCTGTTCCTTTTGATGGGTGTTAGGAGGAGATGATGGGCAGGCAGGAGAGAAGGGTTCCATCAGAGCAGTCACAGGAGCCTCGCTGGTGTCCTGCACACTGGCCAGCCAGGTGGCGCTGGCTGCCGCAGCCACTCCCATTCAGTCCCTTATTTATTCAGTGGTTAGTAAGGGCCTTCTGCCACAGCTCACTTGGCTAATCCTCCGCCTGCGGCGCCAGCACCCCGGGTTCTAGTCCCAGTCGGGAAGCCGGATTCTGTCCCGGTTGCCCCTCTTCCAGGCCAGCTCTCTGCTGTGGCCAGGGAGTGCAGTGGAGGATAGCCCAAGTGCTTGGGCCCTGCACCCCACGGGAGACCAGGATATGCATCTGGCTCCTGCCTTCGGATCAGCGCGGTGTACCGGCCGCAGCATGTGCTGGCCACAGTGGCCATTGGAGGCTGAACCAATGGCAAAGGAAGACCTTTCTCTCTGTCTCTCTCTCTCACTGTCCACTCTGCCTGTTCTAAGCACCAGAAAGCTGCTGGGTGCTCAAGGGTCATCAGTGACCAAATCAGACACATCAGCTCATGTGCTCAGGAAGAGAGATGGACAACTGATTAGGAGTGTTTAGGGAGGTGGAATTCCATATAAGTATCTACAGCCACATGCCACGGAGCAACCCATCTGTCAATGGCAGGCTGCGTTTAGCATGGTGGTCCTGGAAGATTCCAGTGTACTGAGCAATTCCTATTGCTGGTACCATTGCACCTGCTGTGACATTGTCGGAGGGCAAGGCATCACTCGTGTGTCTGCTGACCCTGGTGTAAACATACCTACCGTGCTGTCAGCTGCATAAAAGCATGGCACATAAAATGATGTGCAGTGCCCCAAGTTGGATAATTCATGATAATCAGCAGATACTCCACTGTCTCATGTATCCTAAACTCTGTAGCATTATTGTTGCACATGCTCTGATGTTTACCATGAAACTGCACAGTGTTAGGCCAGCAGCAGCCTCACACGGCTTGTACTTCCTGCATCTCTTGACCCCCACTGAATGATTGCTGTCTACTACCCTGGGGTGTCTCAATCACTCTGCTCTGGGATGCTTGCACAACACCAAACCTGCCTCATGACACTTCTCAGAGCATGTCCCAGTGGTTCTGAAGCAGCCTTGACTGTACTGTGTATTCACACAGGCAGTGTGGAAGCAAGGAGGTGGAGGGTGCATGGGTGGGAAGTGGTTACAATTTAAAAAGATCAGGGCTCAAGGGGGAGGTGACATTTCGGCAATGACTTTAGGGAGGTGGGCTGAGCCTCACCTCAACGCCCCCGTCCCTCAGGGTTGGGCTGGGCTGTGACTGGTTCCCAACGCTGCTTGGAGCATGAAAAGCCCTCCTGCCCTTTGTGGTGTTGCTTCTCACCAGTATCTCTAACAGCCAGGCTGCGGCTGCCGGGGCTCTCGCCGGGTAAGGAAGGAAACGCCAAACCACAGGCTCCACAGGGGAGCAGCAGCGTGCCCAGAGAGAGCAGCACGTGGCCTGGCAGTCCAGCTTGCAGCAAAACATGGGTGCCCAGGTCCTCCTGCTTTGATGGATTTAAAGAACACCTGCAGCAGGATCCCTGCTAGGGGCTGAGGGCTTAAGTGGGAGGTCTCACAGGCAGGGCAGGGAGGTGGGCGCAGCCTCTAGGTGCAAAGTTGCACCCCACCCCCAGAGAACTGAGTGACAGTGAGTGGCCGGAGGTGACTCATTTTTTGAGCTCCACAAAAACCCCAGGCTTCACTCAGGACCAGGGAAAAAGACCAAGGGGGCTGGGCAGCCATAGATAGTAGTTCTCTCTGCTCCCCGCTGTTTAGTGGATGTGCTGGCCCTAGAA